CCCRMGSMMTTRCKWRRTTTTTTTTGAACCATTATTAACTTTGACATAATGTATCAATCTCTGTTCTTTCAAGCCGTTTCTGTATTCATTGTTGATGTCACGTGACTTCAACCTGCGATGTTGTACAGRCATGTGTTCCTCAAATTAACTGGAGATATCCAGTTACCATATATGTTTTTTTTTTACATTATAAGGTGCTATAACCGCAGTTTGCGGCATCTAAAATCTAGTTCCTTTTCTTGAGAAAATTTAAATTTAGCRAATTTTATCTTTGCATTTCCTTCTTTGATTGAGAAGTTTTAACCGCTTCCATTGCACAATGAAAAAGTAAAAAATAATCATGWCAGTAGATGAATGCAATTAAAGAAAAATGTGTCAAACTGAATGAGYTATATGATTCTTAATTCCGATATTTTAATCACGATTTATGTGTTCTCATGCAGTTATTAAGCAGGGTCGTGGGGACGACATTTAGGTTGCTTTGCTGCGATCTAGTAATCAGACGTAGTTAATCATGTCTGCGAATACAAGATAGAAGTTGAAGCTCTTGATTCCCTTTTAGGATCCTCAGTAGCAATTTTTTTGCTATTTTTTACATACTGGTTCATATTGACAGAAAAGTACTTCAGGAGTGAATGATATCAGTTCCTCTGTGACATTTGSGACTCAATTAATGGCCTATCACTTCGATGATACAGTCATTTGCAAAAATTCTGTTCGCAAATGCATCATGGGTAATTTCATGTGATTTTAAGTATTTTCTCGCTAAAACAAATCGCAAAATATTCGATTACTTTGAATTTATGTTTATTAAAGGTTATTCGAGCATAATTCGTAGTGTTATGGAAAATTTTAAAAGGGTTTAAATTTGAGATCTCAACAGCCCAAGGAATTTCTTCAATTGCAAACTGTACAGCGAATCAAATCGATCTTGATAATAGCAAATTTCAAGTAAAGATACCAGGTTATTTACGATAATTGTAGTTCACAACTAAGTGAAGATTAATGTCTTTGCGATTTTTCTCGTTCTAGTTTTTACAATGGGAAATGAGAGCCAACTACGTTATAGTTCTTCGAAAACATTTATTTCCACAAAGAAAAAAATGTCTATAAGATACTTCTTTTTACAAGGAACATTGTATATATTATACAGGGAAAAGCGCGCGCTGTTGTCTTACTCTGCTATGGTTGCGTAGCAGACATGTTCTGAACAATTAAGCCAAACAGCGTCATTAATGGTATAACTTATCAAATATTGTCAGTGACGTCACCTGGTCAACATTGAAGCACAGCGACATTATGGCATCAAACAAAGTTGAATTTGATCGATTTGGTTTTTGGTATATGCGGTTACGTTTTACAATGAAAGTTGCAGAAATTGAGATAAAGATTAAGATAAGATAGCGAGATAAGATAGTTTGGGTTCGTCAGTTATCGCTTATGACTGATAGACAATATACTTTAATTTTATCAAGCATTATTAAAAAACACTTGCTATATATAGCAAAGTGTTATTCTTTATACAGGGCAATATGCTATATGTTGATTATAACATTTATGTTTTGAAATTGTGTAGTGTTTATGTTTTGCGACCCAATTTAGCGAAGACTTTTTCTCAGTATTGCTTACTATCAAGACTACTGTCTTAGTCTGAGCTGTTTCTACGTAGTTCTCGCGAATAATATTCAAAGTTCATTTTATTATATCTTTTGACATCGATGTTTGGTGAATTGTGGTAGTTCGTGTTCAGCCAAACTATATAGTTAAAGACGAGCCAGTAGCTCGTATCACTAAAATGGCCGTTCTAGCTGGATTTCAAATAATCAAGTAGAGAATAACATGACTCAATAAATTACAATTGATAATAATTAAAAGTCGTATACTTACTCATTTTTGCTCTTCAGTTTTATAGCTGTAGCTTTTAACAATTCAYTAGTTGATGTTGTTCGTTTTTCACGTCGCTTCTTGTAGCTTCAGTCAGTCGGTTCCTGTTGAGTTCTGACCAGCTTAGAAGGCCATCCGCACTTATGTCCTAATCAACGCCTGGAGGCGAAACACTAGGTTCAAATGCAAACAGCACTTTCTTAATTATTTATTTTGCTAATTGTCTGTATTTTCTAATGAGTGTAATTGAAAACTCTTTTTGTAGTATCCGCCTAATTCCAATATCTGTGTGACGACCGCACTGTTTAATTATCGAAATGGCTAGAACTTTTTGATAATTCTGAGGAGTTTATCAATAGTTTTTCATCTAGTTTCGACGAGATTGAAATGAAGTTATAAGTGTTTTCCAAGCGTTGGTAAACTATTGTTCTTTTTTTTCATTGTTAGCATGCGATGATGAAAAACGAAAAGAAAAACAAGCCATCTTAATTAGCATCAATATAATGAGGCACATTTTCGCTTGAATGCTAATCCTAATTAGCCTTAATGCTGTGCTTTTAGTGCTAGTCTGAGTGTAAGTTTAGTTTAGGCACCTTTTTGGAGTGTCGACACGTTTTTTGTAAATATGTCTTCGCCTCAGCTTCATTATATTTCTTTTAAGGCGAGTAGTTTTACAAGTCAAGTACATGTTTAATCAACATTGGGATGCCTACTTTTGAGGAAATTAGCTGATTAATATATACCTTAAACCTATCTACTGTCAAACGAGAAGTTTACATGTAAAAGCAGCTTTTGGTCTATTTAGCGTCAGACAGATAGACAAGGAACTGAATTTAATTACACATAGCTGAATAAACCGTGAGTAAAATGCTGCCGGCCATATTAAGTTTGTGACAAACTGAGCGAGAGACGAGAGCAAAACTATAAAACAAGCATATTATATGCATCAAGCTGCTCAATTATTGGATGGACATAGCTGGATGGCGACCTAACCAAACTTACTATTAAACCACCTACATTCATCATTATAAACACATTTCTTTTAATATTTCGCTAAATGTTTCGCCACTTCGGTTATTTTGAAAAGACCATTTTCTGAAAAGATCGCATTACCCACGTCGCATTAAGAAATACTTCATGTCTTTGATAAAAATGAAGCATTTATCTGCAATTAGCGACAGCTGGTCCTCAGGTTCTCAACAGCCTGACTTTTGTTAATAAATTCAAGTTAAACGATTGAATGATAAAGTTTAAGGTGGCAGTATAAAGAGTTGTTGTCATGGCAGCCATGTTAATTAACATTTCCCCATTCAGATCACTGTAATTTGCGAGTGTAATTTGACACCCGAGTATTCATTTATTACCTAAAAAACGCTTAAACAAATAATATCATTTGTAGGTGTTTTTAAACGTCTGTTCCTTCTTATTCAGTTATTTCTATAACACACAATTTCAAAACAGTATTTAATTAATCGTCGCCATTGTCAATGTTTCTGACAACACGTGGATTAATACTTTTATTCGTAATTATACCTTTGTGTTGTTTATTTGGTTTTTCTATCTTTAGCTAAATTAGTTGTCTTTCATTCAGATGTTGTTTTCTACTCACACTTAAGAAAATCGTCCACAGACAGGTGCTTTAGTTACTAATGAGACGGCCAATTGCGACAACAAAGCTATTTTCTGCCATGCGAAGAAAAAGTAAATTTGTTAACTCTTTGCGTTGTTCGCTCTTTTGCTACCGCGCTTTTTTCTAAGAGTTAAATTGACGTAGTCGGTGCTTACATGTATAGCTAAGTCTTTGGATGATCATTTCGCATTTCTGACGTTTCAAATTTATTCAAACTCGTTAATTAAAATGTTTTCGTTATAGTTTTATCACTAATCTCTCTACATATACGAATTAAGGATAATCCTTTTGTATTAGACTTTTGTATCAGCACATAATTTTAGTCATATACAAAACGTAGATAAGTGAATGGACTTGTTTCTGAAAAATTCTCCGGTCCGCGTCACCGTACGTAGTACCCGCCAATTTGCCACTATTTGCCTCACCACTTAATTCAGCACTTAATTTTAGTCATATACAAAACGTAGATAAGTAAATGGAAACATTGACTTGTTTCTGAAAAATTCTCCGTCCGCGTCACCGTCTACGTAGTACCCACCAATTTGCCATTATTTGCCTCACCAAGACATGTTTATTTATAAAAAGACATCAGGGGAAGTTAATTTTGTCGTGAAGTTGGTAAAGCATGTACCATTAACGACGAGGTTGAACTTTATTACTTCTTGTAGCAGTTCCTTTTCTAACTAGTTTAATATGTCTCATTTCTCCAAAAGCAATAAAAATTTTTATCATTTTTTTTTTCGAAATGCGAAAAACGTGACATATGGTGATTTTTTAAATCTAAAATATGATTTCTAAAAAATGACGCACTGAAGTTAGCTTCATTAACATTCGCGTCATTAAGACTGATGAGATCAACTGAATATGCGGGCTTTGATCAATTAACGACGCGCACTCGACTCCTCTCAAATTAATCATGCTCCATAAAAAAAAATTGCGAAATACCCCGGTACTTAACATATTTCATTTTCACATTTTTCAGTTAAACCCGATCCTTGTGCAGGTAGACGATGTCCTAGAAACTACCAATGTAAAGTAGTCGGTGATAATAATTATCGATGTGACGGTGAGTATGTTGATGTAAAAATTAGCCAATCGTCGCTCTTTTTTATGATTGACGGGGGACTGGTTTAATTATCACTTGCGACGAAAGAAAACGCAAGCCTTAACGTAGACGTGCGTGAATACAACGGCCTCGACGAAAACCCACGGATGGGTGCAGAAACGAGCATTGACTTACTAATGAACATAATAAAATTGGAGAACAATCTAGGATGGAAACGAATGATCGACTCCGTCATACGCAAGAACTAACGTAACATATGTTGACGAGTAAAAAAACATATCGCGAACTGCGTACGAACTTCGTACTAACGCTGCAAGAATGCAAATTTATTAAAGTAAACAAGAAACACAAGTGAGAACAAACGTTACGCAAACGTACGGACGATCGCAATAAGCACTAATGTAGACGTGAATTAACAAGTGTGACGGAACAGCCGCCAGGCAAACTCACGAATGATTGGACACCGTACGTATACCTCTGCAAGAATGTAAAATTATGAACCTAGACATACTTAAACGCAATATAAAAACAGACTTGATATAGATACAATGCACAAGAGAGCGCAAAGCGACGCGAGAAAAATTAAAACATTCGTTCAGTCTTTTATTTCACACGTGATTGAAGGCGTAGTTGTGCTTGCCTCGAGATATTGCTTGTGAGAACACGATAACTTAGAGAMAGAGAGTAATAATTGGGGGCTCAGGACACTGAAAACCCCAGTAAATTCTTGTGCTCTCTTGCTTATTGTATCCTTGCTAGGCAAAGTGTCGAAGAAAGCACACATTTACTATATACGAACACTAAAGAACGGAGACTTAATTTATTCTTATGCTCCGTATTTTTATAGTATGTTTTTCGAGTCTCCGAATTTATGTTTTTCATATTTCCTTGTCAAGTTATCCTCAATTTTCATTATATCTCTCAACCACGATTCCAAAATAAGTATTCGGCATACTATCTGCATGTGATGTAGATAGGGGTCGAAATTCCCGTTGCTTCTTCGTCAGTTAACTTGAGGGCATTGATCAATTGACTTTGAGCTAATTTCCAAACTGGCAAAGCAACCAGACGTGATATAAAAAAAGTCTAACTTCATTACTAAATACGACTTATAACGACTAATACCCAAGTTAGAAAACAAGAAAACATGTTACTCCGAAAAGACGCAAACTCTGTATTTTTAATATCTATCATAATTCGCTGATTTTTTTGGTAATCAGAACATTATTTTTTTTCCGGGTTCATTGTCGGTTATATATATTATTGGCTTGTTTGTTTATTTTTAAGGTATCTCCATCTGCTTTCTAATCTACTTTCAACTTCAAATCTACTCAGTCTTAAAATCAAAATAAAACAAAAGTACCATTTTTAAATACAACTTGTTATCGTTGTCCAACAACAGATGAGGGAATTATGAAAAACGAGAGTATAGAAATCGGCTGCTTTAGTTAAGAAAACTGAATGCTAATTTTTATACAAGCTGTTATTAATACAGTTCTGAAAAACAGGAAAAAAAAAACAAACACTTGTCAGACCAATTTATTAACCAACCATTGACAATAAATGACGAACATAAGCTGATGATCAACGCCGGGGAATTCATTTATTAGCCTGATTCCGTCATAAACAAGGAAAAAAATAAATTCCTTATTGTCCGGGAAAATCCCACCCTCGCTTTATTTATTTAAATAAACTCATCAGGAGCTCTCAATAAGAAGTGGAGCTTTCCTAAAATAACTCCCACGCTAATCGACTGACAAACAAGACGCTCAACGGGCCCTGAGCTCATAATGGATTTGATACCAATGTGGGAGCGAATTGACGGGGTTTGTTTTCATCCAAAAACTTTAAAATCATAAAATCGAAATATAAACAAGCGGACTTAAAGCAAGACTGATATTTTTATATTTTTATGTCGATAAAATTATTGTTTGTTCTTTAATAGGATTTTTTTTGTAAATGCTGCAAAATCATCGACAACATTTCGTGATTAGCAAGATGTTGCAATGCAACACAGATTTACTGGAAAATCTTATTCGGTGCAAAATTTCTCATACAGCTATCATTCTACCAATGGCCTTCATTTTTTTACCCATTTCTAACCAGTATGAGCTTGGTCATTAGAGTACAAACATTAAATGTGTGCAGCACATTCCACTATTTACTATTTCTAGTGATTAAACAATAGAATTAGCATAATTTAGCAGTATTTAGTGGTATTTATGTTGCACAGTTTTAGTGTTTGTACTCTATGACTACAAAAACTCGTCACTTTCGTGCTCCGGTAGTGACGTATTTATGAATTATCATTGTTATGGTTGGAATCACAACAAGGCGAGGTTCCGTGACCATGCCGTGCCGTATCCGTCCCAAGATCCGTGCCACATACAATCACACGAAATCCACTCTTTTTTATAGTCGCTTGAATTGTGTGTATATTATTAATTCCGATTTTTTTGCACAAATACATCAGTGCAAACATTGACGCCCATCTTCAGCGGTTCCATATGTCTATCATAATTATCCAATATATTCAATCTGGTTGTATTTGTTTGTTTTCATTTCTAGATATAGACGAGTGCTTAAAAAATCCCTGTGATGCTGTGGCGACATGTCAGAACTACCCTGGTGGCTATAGTTGCCGGTGCCCCAAAGGCTATCGAAGTAGTTCGTTCGACAGAAATAGGTGTCAAGGTACAGGGGGGGGGGGGGGGGGGGGGGGGGGGGGGGGATGGGGAAGGTATTCTAGAGGGCTAATGTCAGAAACCTTCACGAGCTATTTTATTCATGTGTAGAATTTCTTTGCACGCCGTAACAAGTTTTTCTCTTTTTTATCCCTTTGGTTAATTGTAAGTTTCGACGTACTATACAAGAACGGATAAAATGCGAATAAATATTTGAAGTTATCTCATTTTCCATATAAGAAAAAGTGAATAAGAAAAGAGAATGAATTGAATTCCTGAACTTAATTTTTGTTTGCTTGTTCTAAGCACATGCTAGCACAATCATATTATTATTGATCATGATTTTAAAACGATTTACGGCATATAGAGCATCTGGAATTATGATAGCTCAGTTGTTCGTGGGTTTTACTCAATTCTACACTCGATCTTGTGAAAGGCCACCATCAACACACGACACAGTGGTCTAACTAAATTTTATGATATCGTCGTGCATATTGCCTGACCATTATTAAGACCGAGATTGCTCTGGATACTAGACTACTGGTAGCATATGGTCAAGTTAGATGGCTAGAGGGAGTGGAACTGAGTCCTTCCACATTGTATCCTCCCATAGAGCCTGTACGTCCATTGGCTAAAATTAGCTAGAAATCCGAAAACTAAAAGTAGTAGTTAATAAAATAAACAATAGTAGAGTACAAACACTTAAACTGTGCAACATAAATATCACTAAATTATGCTAATTCTATTGTTTTCTATTGTTTAATTAGCACTATTTTGTAGTAAATAGTGGAAAGTGTTGCACATATTTAATGTTTGTACTCTACTGATATTCAGTTATTTCGGATTATAATTAATTGATAATCAAATCATATAATTATGAGTTATAAGAACTTTTTGTTTTGAAATTTTGTTTATTTACATGTTTAATTTTCTTGTTATTTCAGATATCAATGAATGTTTGTACCATGTCTGTGAGCATGATTGTAAAAATACTGCTGGCTCCTATCAATGCTCATGTCGTTCAGGATTCAAACTTGATTCTCCTAACGGGAAATATTGTATCAGTAAGTTCTTTAGTAAAACGAGTGTAGTTTTTTTCTGCATTTCTAGGCACCTTAGAGGATGTATGCTATAATGGAGTGAAGTTTACAAGAAACCGCTCTCATTTCAAAATTACATTCCAACTTCACAGAGTCATTTTTTTCCTCCCTCTCCTCGCGCTTATGAAGTTTTAAAACATGCTTATGAATAACTAAAAATTAGTATTAGATATAATAGACCACTTCACGCTTTCGTTATGAGTAGTCTGGACAGACTCGTATGCCTGCTTTTCACTAGCGAGGCAAGATCAAGTGAAATCCGACCAAAGCGCCAGTTATAAAGTAAGCGCAGGAGAAAGAGCGATTTGTTGCAAGTTGCCGGCTCTTGCATGTGGTTGCGCTTGTGAAAACAAAACACAACGCAAGTGGAACTTCTTGCGTCTGCGTCTGCGCATGTCCCTTTTATTTTTATAACAAAATTTGTTTATTCTATTAACAAGTAAAACTAAAAGTGTGGATTTTTACATACTTAATACGACGAAAATAGGACAATTCTTAATAATATCTAGTGGCTGTTTGATTTATAGACATCGATGAGTGTAAAACACAAAACCCATGTCAAGGGAAATGCCGAGATACCCAAGGCAGCTATGAGTGCTCTTGCGATCCTGGTTACAAACTAAACTTAGACAGAAAGACATGCTCAGGTAAACTTAACGCTCGCGGCTACGACACGAGGCCATTTACACTGGAAAGGATTGCACACTTTAAAGGTTGTAAATTTGATGTAAATATGGTGTAAGTGTCCAAAATTCTGTAAATTTGATGTAAACGATTTACATGAAATTTACTGAATTTTGGACACTTACATCATATTTACATCAAATTTACAACCTTTAAAGCGCGCAATTTTTTCCAGTGATTACCGTATGTTGCAGGTGTTATAAACACACTCCACCACATCGGACACTGCAACAGAACGATAGGCTATTCGTTAATTTTAATTCACTAGTTAGTAACAACGATCTGTGACCGAAACTAATAACGGTCGCCATGGAGACTATTGATATGCGCTCATCCCATAATTTATCTGAAATAAACCATTCAAAATGTGTTCATAAAATGTGCATTGTTTTTGCAGACTTTGATGAGTGCCGGAATGGAAATGGACGGAGTTGTGCACATGGTTGTACCAATACACCCGGTAGCTTTAGATGTACATGTCGTTCAGGTTGGAAACTGGCTACAAACAGATACCTATGCATTGGTAGGTTACAAGCTCTCGATTACACAACGAATGCATTATACATAGGCCGCCCAACTATTGATTGAGAGGATCAAAAGCTAGTCTAGGTTTTGATCCCGCAAGGCAAGGGATCATTGACGTAATACCACAGTTAACCCGCATTTTGCTAAGAGTGAGCGCCGAAAACAGTACTAGCGTAAAAGCGTGCGCATTCGTTCTTTTCCTTCTCTCAAGCAATAGTTGGGCGGACTATGCATTATAATGGAAAAAGAATTAAAACAAAAGCAACAGCAAACAGCAAAAAACAGCAGAACTTGGGTTTATTAGAAGAAGGAAAATAAAAGGAATGGAATTTTGTTTTGCTTCATTTTGTTTTCAATCTTTTTATAAACGATGGGGAGGGCATGATATACAGTGATTTCGACACATGTTTCATTGCTGTTGTTTTTAAACGGTCTTGCAAGATGCCAATTCTAAACTAAACTTCATCAGAAACCGTACAGAACTGGTATAGCCACTCTAAAACATGCAGTGAAATCCCATATATAGGTCGGTGATACGACGACCATTGGTGCACTTATTTAATACCTTCATTACTCAACGTTTTTCTGAAATATCTGTATAATCTGCTAAAAATAATTTTGCATCTTTAGACGAAGATGAATGCCAAAATGATCCCAATATTTGCCGTGGATCACCGTACGTCTGTTTGAATACAATGGGTTCTCATGAATGCGTTGACTTTCCCTGTCCTCCAAGAACCGAAGTCTCACCATCGTTGGCAAAATACTACTCATGGCAAAATCCAAACCGGTAATTACAGGGCGAAGGATCCTAATTCACTATGACGTCACATCTCTGTTGCTTTAAAGATAATAAATATCGTCACTCTAGGTGACAGAAAATTTTGGGGTGACAAACTGAAAACATAGAAAGGAATTTAAGTTGAGAAGAGGGTAGGACCAACAGATTATAAGTAGTGCACAGTAACTAACATTGACGCTTAGAATATTTGAAATCTGAAGTTCAAGTTACAAAAATATGTCATTCAAAAGTCCTCTTCGATTTTGAAATTCTTCTCCATACAAACATAGTCGTGACGTCATAGTGAAATAGGGCAACCTAACTCTACGAGATATGCAGTAAGGTTTTAACGACATTGCAATATTTCCATCGAGCATTGAAGTTATTAGCCTTATTGAAGTTTGGTTCGCTTTTACAAACACAGCACTCTCATGTCCTAGTTTGCCACTTCAATAAGTATTTGGCCAAAAAGCATGCGCATAGAATCTGACATGACACTATTGAGTTTCCATTTTCAAATTAAAGTTTAAGCACATAAAATTAGATTTTGCTTCTCCACTTTGGATTCTCCCCCCCCCTCCCCCCCCGAGAAATATTGAGCAAACCCTCAGTAACTAGATTTGTTAAATAATCGTTTGCAGCAAGTGCACAAGGATCGATTGTACAGACGGAGACACAACATGTTATAACATRAAAGACAAGGGTTTCAGCTTGTGGGATTTCAACATACCAGTTGGCAGACAGCCAGTAGATTTATTTACTTACAGAATTGTTCTTACGGGTAAGCTTCATCATCTTCTTTTTTTTCTCCTTTTTTTTTAATTTTTGTTACTTTTTGGATATCGAGTTTTTGCGAAGGTAAGGAGTTAGTAGTGTTCTATGTTTTTTAGTCCAGTCGACCCGCTCCAAGACTCTCGGGTCAAAAGGGAGGCCGAGACTGGGCTATCTATGTTCTAAGACGACACAAAATCCCATTAACTTTGTTAATTTAATTTTAATTTATTAGCTTTGCCCCTAGTATGGGCAGGGACACCCAGTTCAGTTGCATAATGAAATGTTATATTGCCTTAAAGTTTTAGAACTTGGGGCTGAATGTACAATCAGGAACAGAACTGGTGCCATGCAAGCTAATATATTCTAATCTTCTATCTATTCAGGCTACAGAGATAAAGCGAAGCCAGTTATAAAGTACAGATTTAGGAGCGGTAATGAGGAGGGATTGTTCGAGATCGACCAACCAAGACGTCTGGAGGGTAATGCGTTTGTACGAAATAAGAAAACTCTGACAAAACCTGGCAAATATAGACTTGAGTTTGTTGGCGAACTGTTCTGGACGGATGGAGAGCTAGTGTCAAGATACATCCACTACCTTTATTTTAACGTGTATAGGCCTTATTAGACGGCGAACTAAAGGGACGATTCACACTGCTAAAAAAAACACAATAGATTTAAGGATTGAAGTGAAAGAAGACAAACATGATTAGTATTACGGTGCTTTTCTTTATTATTTTGTTTATTTTTTTATCTTTTGTTAGCGCTGTTTATTATTTCTCTTATGCTTATTACTGTGCTTATGTCTGTGCACGCTTGACTTCATTCCTTTGTTTTACCTTTTGTTCTACTATTCCGCTTCTGTCGTAGTGTGAACCGGCCCTAAAACACAACAAGCTTAAGATTGCTTAGGTATTATTCTTGTACTCATAGTGCAATTAATAGCTCATATGCCTCATAGTTAAATCGACTTTGTTTTTGTACATTAGCGATGTTTAACCATCTAAAAATACCCTATGATTTTGGCTTTCACTTTAATCTTTAATCTTTAAATAAATTAATTGCCACTAGTGAGCTAATCCGGCAATGGGGCGGCCAGCGGTGGCCAATCGGTTATGTTAGGTAATAAACGACCCGTAAAATATATACGATATAGTTGTAGACGACATGTACGTCTGTGAGTATTTAACCTATTGTTCCATGAAGCCTAATAGTTTGATATTCAGTCAGTGGCCTTTTTGAGATAATGCGCGTGTTTGTGTTTATGCTTTTAAAAAGTCAAATAAACTCAATTCARATCTACGTTGACGTGCTTATGTTGCGTTTTTGCAGTTTGGGTTAATTGTTATGCGAATGCTTGTGGATATTAATATCACCATTWCGTAGTCTATAGAGCTGGTATTTCTCCAGTGTTGCCCTTATAAGGGATTAATGCACGTGCACGCTATATTTTTGCAGTATTTTTAAGTATATTTGACTACAAAACATTGCCTAGTGTATGATAGTGATTTGTGATCTATCATTAAACATTTCAAATAGAAAACATAGACTGTCAATTTTATTGGACCAAAACTAGACCACATGGATCAAGGACTGAAGTGTGCATTTATAATATCGATGGAACTATTCAGTTTTATTGATGCCAATTTTATTAATTCAGTATGATATGAGATAAGCTCAGGAAACTGACCTGGCTCACTCTCTTATCATAAAAAACAAGCAATAGCTATGAATGAAATGTCCAGTTTCAATCTTATCGCAACTCCCTTGAAGTGAAATGCAGCCATTCAGAAAACGATGTTAAATACAATGGTACTCATAATTAAACTCACCGCTAGCAAAAGCGTTTTTTTTTGCAAAATTAAAATTTGAAACATTTGTGTTTAAAAGGGGCTAACAGACTTCATAAGAAATTTTCATTGAAGTTCTGGACTGTTGGGAAAGCCACTCTGGAAGGCACTCAGTATCCCGTATCATGTGTTCAGTAACGTTTCSTGAAATGTCTGCCTATCCGAGCAAACCCCAGAAACCAACTAAAYTTACTCGTAATGCATGCACAGCAACCCATTTGATGAAGAAGCACTTTATTATAGACTCAGTCAAATCAATTTATCGTCGAATGTCAGCATTATCGGATCGATAAGTAGTCGTCTCTGTACGTTGAACTTAACGAACCCTTGCTCAGTGCAGATAAAAGGTCCGATGACTTAACGTTGTTCACTGGAGGAAGAACACGTAGCGGTTTCCAGATAGAAATGACCTATTAATCAARAAACACTTGATTAAAAGCTTTGTGTGTAGCTTATGCTGGCATTGAAGCTTTACTTCATGTACTGTATCTAGGATATGTTTCAGACAAAACTTGTCGGATTTTGTTTTCTCTAGAAAATGATCCCACAATGCATTAGGAACGTTAAAGCTTCAGACGTTTAAATCCTCTTCTGGGTCTCTTATAATATTATAATTGCTGGATATGACAATATGCTTGGTGCTGTGGTCTGATAACCTTATAGCTTACCTGGTCAGGCCTTGTGTAAGGTAGAAGTACATTGCTTGGATATGTATGAAGGACATTGCCTATTTTGGTAGGTGGAGGAGASCGTTGCTGCGGCAACGGTTTTGTTCTGTAATCGTATGAATATCCAGTACTCCCAACTTGGCGAGATTGGTCCGGGGCAAACCATTTTGGGCTAGTGAGTAATAACGATTTACTTCAAAATATACTTTATTCCGGTTTAGAAAAGACATTTTAAACGTTACATGGTCGACATTGCCATGGCTTGTTGCACATTCTTGTGGGGTCTAGTTTTAAGCCTGCCCCTCCCCCTTACGCGCGCGGTACACTTCTAAACTTCTCTAATCTGTTGTCGTTGCTTGGGAAAAAAATCTAAGAACACTACAACATCGCTTGGCAGCACAGATTACTATAGTAATGCAGTTTGCCTTGATAACTAGAATAATTCCAGATTAGAACCCCAAGTACCCTGCCCCGTTAAGAATCCATCACTCACCGACAACTTTTTGCAGGGAGGCCTGGTTCTCCTTTGAAGTTTCTTCTAAATGTGGTTGTCATGGGCGACGATGGAGGAATCTGTCCATATATTTCTGAAAAAAAAAGAAGAGAAAGTGTGGTAGAAAGCAATATATAGTGCCGAGACATGTATCATACAATTCTCTAGAAAAAAAAATTAAGCCATTATGGMGGGCCATCTGAGTGTATTAAATAACACAAAGATTTAGTACATACTAAACTAACTCTACAACCAGCTATATAGGCTTAATTTATTACGAAAAAATGCTAGAAAAGTCTTTTCAAAACAAACTAATCAATCTTTAAAGCTTAACATACACATTCTAAAAAACGTTTCAAGAGTGTATACTGTGCTCAATGGATATATGCAAGTAGTAGAACGTTTTCACAAACACGCGTACCTGTTGTACTTTTGTTTACGTTTGGATGATCGATCTTCAGTATTTGAATATCGTCCATTGAATAATCTTTGAAGTCTTCTCGGTAGGTACTCGACCCTTTGACTTTGTTGCTAAGCCATTCTTCGTCGTTATATACAACTGGTTTTATAAAAGGAAAAAAAAACTTAAAAATTACACACGGGAAGATCTGATGCAGGATTCTACAATTGTCGAGATGTTGTTGCTATGGTTTATACCTTTAGTGCGAAGTTTGCGAGGCAACATATTTATTCCTAGTTTTTTGAGAACTGTAGGGTTTTCAATACGTTTCTGATGTGATTTCTTCATGTTTTGAGCTGTTTCATAGTTGCTACTCTAGTTAAGTATGGTTAAGTATATATGACACGTACTTAACACCTAACATTGAACCTCATTTACACTTCGACGCCTATATATAGGCTTCGGGACAAATCCCTTGTGAGATGCCTAGCTACAATGAGGGCACTTTATTCTGCGAATGGAAAAAGTAACACAACATGCAGACGCAACTTGTACGACTTCTATGGACTAATTAGACTAAAAAAGCTTGGTTATGAAAAACTCAATTATCTGAGCCTTTTAAATTTAAAAATGAAATTTCCACCTGTCTGTTTTCCTCTCCTCACTCGCCGAATTACTTGCAAAAGTACCAAAAGTTTGAATTCAAACTAACCGTGAATTTGGAACGGCAATCCGATTTTACTTACTGTTTACTGTGGTGATGAAAAGTTTCKTATTRGATTTCCCTTGTTCATGACATCCGTCGTCCATTCCAATCCTCGAGTCCATTRTWATTTTTGACCATGTGCTTCATTCTCGGCTTTTGCACTCATGGATGAAAGGAAAGCATACGTTTGACTTCTTGAATTAATTTTCACCATATAAGTACCTTATTACCGGTGAATTTAAGACAGACAAAGAAGGATTTTAAAAATAAGAATAACAATATTTAAATATACAATAAAAATACTTGAAAGCCGCTGTTTGGTACGAAGTGGTAGCGTGGCCGAGCGGTCTAAGGCGCTGGTTTAAGGCACCAGTCTCGTAAGAGGCGTGGGTTCGAATCCCACCGCTGCCATGAATTTTTTTTCGCCTCCTTTTTCTCTTTTTTTTTTGCAATACAAGTCCAACCTGACAATTTTCATCTACAGAACATAAGGTTTTTGATACTRTGATGGGTATTTACCACGCAATAACTTGTTTGAATATATTTTTATAACGTAACGCTTTTTTGCAAAGTAACTCGTGGATTGAAAAACTATCCGCAGATTTGATGCGCATTTCAAAGTGCTCAGAGTTAGTAAAAGTTAAAYTTATTTTCAACTTTATTTCATCTTAAAAAGATAAAAATATATAGATTTATTTGAAAAATGTTATAATTCGTATATTTTTTTTTATATAAATCATCAAGACCATAGATCACACTATACTTTAGCTAAAACCGTCACTTTTTAAGCAATCACAAATTACAACTAATGACATCACAATTATTGACAAAAAATGTTTGAATGCCGCCCACCATTGTGGGTTTTGTTAATCAATACTTCAAACGAACAAATTATTTTTGATTTGTACATGTATAAATGTCCACTTTAGGCTCTTTTAGTCTTCAAACTCAAGTCTTTTATTTTGATTTGACCAGAAATCTCTTCTGTTTCTTGCTCGTTCTAATGTTTCTGAAGCTGTTGATGCTCTACTGGTCATYGATCTTTCAGACATTACATCATCATCTCTTTGCTTTTGCCTGGGAACATATGACCCATCTTGACTCTTTAAACTTGTTGAAAGACTAGCTTTGTTCTTTCCATTCTGTTTTARAGGTTTTTCTRGKTYASTGGGTGAGAAGGTCAGAGATTTTTCCAACTTTTCATTCAGAATYTTTGTGGTCATGTCATAGTGATGTCTCCTAGATTGMCCYGCTTCTCTTAYCTCAGGAGTTGGAGAGCGTCCACGTTCAAGTATAAACTGCCCATTTTCAGTCTCGGTKGCATCCGTATARGAAGTAGAGAATGAGCCGTTTGATTCTACAGGTGAAGGTGGTCGTTTTGACCAGGCTTCTTTTTTGACAGGTGGTCTTTCAGCTTCTCTTGGCACTTCTTTCTTTTTCCTGTGGACTTTGTCATTTTTCTTTGATGATTTACTTGAGTGCTCTGAGACAACTGATGCAGAGTAATCATCGTCATCATTTTGGTATGCATTCAGCCTATTTTGACGGTCAAGTTCCTCACGAGAAAAATGAGTTCCCCTGGCTTGATGGGCATATCCATAAGCTTCATTGCGCCTGCTAATCACCTGAAAGAACCASAATTACATATAATCCATTTGCAGAACTTTAGCATGTGATTGGTCAACACATACCAGGGCAAGGGTAAGCAGTCACAAAAAGTATGTTGTTGAATAACAACTTACAGAGGTAACAAAAAATTTCAATTTGACTACTTATAGATTATTTACATTTATTATAATTGTTCATTATTTATTTATTATTATATTATTTATATAGAATATATAGAATACATGATAAATAATTCAAACTAACATTAACAAATTGAAGATTGATTTAAAAAAAAAACCAAAAATCATGGAATTAAATATTCTGAATAAAACAATAATTAAATTCATTACCTCCTTATACCAGTTCATTTTGGATTTTGACGGATAATCCTGAAAAAAGAAATAAATAAATTTATAAAATAATTGGGATTGGGATCATAACTAATATTAGCTTTTAAAAAGTTTACAGAAATGAACTGTATATATTTACAATCTGGCAATATCTTGAAATTTGTCGGACTTGGACCTTAAAGGAGTTTCTAAACTTCATARTGTAGGACGTCAAAATAATMTRAACTTTTACCCCTCCTTTGACACACAGAAAACACAATGTTTGAGGAAAACTAGTTTCGTCTATTCGACCTTATAGAGGAATTGATAAGGTCGAATAGACGAAACTAGTTTTCCTCAAACATTGTGTTTTCTGTGTGTCAAAGGAGGGGTAAAAGTTGAAATTATTTTGARGTCCTACAATATGAAATCTGGCAATACTTACTGGACTAGGACGTCCTTGAAATTCAGGTGATTCAATCCAGGTGCCATTTATGAACTTGAATCGACTGCTATACTCAGAGTCATACACCCTTTAAAATAAAAACAAACTTGAGAAAAATTCCCATTTCCCATGCATCCAATATTTTGAAACAATGAAATATCTACACATTAATTGTACCTTTTATCTTCTCTTTCAAGCGACTTCATATACTGTGAGTTATCTGATGGCTTTAAAAGTCGTTTATCYCCTAAACTTGTCATAGTGCGCACCCCAGCAGCAGGTAATCTATCAGGAGATACTCCTAATAAAGGGATAATATTTGAGAATATCAAATTATAGTCTATGGTATACATCAT